CCTCCCAAACGACGAGTTGAAGATCAGAATGGCAGTGTTTTCGAGTTGCTAAGGTTTGCAGCGTCTCATTTCTTCTTCAGATCTCTCTGAGCAGAAACATACTCTCCATATGTGACTCGACGAAGGCGGTGAAGGTGAAGCCAAAGAAACCTTTTCTATTTAAGGAGGTTCGCCAACGACGACTTCCTCTCCCTCCTTCTCCGACGACATCCTTTGCAAAAACCCTAATACAGCCGCCCTTCTAGGGTTATCTCCGAGAACGTAATCCACCTGAGGCGCTGGGCGGAAGTTAAGTAATCGGAGTAGATAGAGAGGAGGAAAGAGGTGATGGTGGATTTCAGATTCATACACACACATCAATTTCAAAAACAAAAACATACATATACAAATCGATTTTTAGGGATGAACATACATAAATAGATTCCAGAACGAAACTTACACATGCATACATATATAAATCGATTATAGATTGGATTTATGGGTTTTCTTTTGAGTTTCAGAAAAAGATTTAGATTTATGAGCATGTGTTTGTTCTTGAGCACTATGTGTTCTTGAGCACTGTGTGTTTAGAATTAAAAACCAAGAAAAATCTGGAGAGATTCAGAGTAGGTGTGCGTGAGTGTATTACCATAAGAGAGAGAGAGAGGTGGGCCCTCTCATTTTTTTAATTATTAAAATGAATAAATAATTATTAAACTTTAAAAAAATGAATTTAAAAATAGAAAATAAATACCCAAGGGCATTAAAGTCATTTCAATTTACCGAGGGACCAAATCCGCAATGAAACTAGCTCAAAAGAACCACCAATCCAAAAAAGTTGTGGTTTGGACTAAAACCCCAAAAAAATGCATACCACATGGACTATTTTTGCAATTTTGTCCATATATATATATATATATATATATATATATATATATATATATATATATATATATATATATATATATATATATATAAGAATTACAAAATAGTTATGGATTTTTTTTTGCGAATTATATTTTTTGGTTTTTTTTTAGAACCGGCAAATATTATTAAGGTCCACCGCCTAACAAGATACTAGACGAGGCCATGAAAAATCAGAAAAAAAAAAAAGAAGGATTACAACGAAGGAAAGCAGCAAAATTCAGAAAATTACAAACATTTCAGCGAGCATATCCACCATTCTACCCACTTATATGAACAATTAGATCTCCTATGCTTAATCCAAGTAAACACCAGAGATTTTATGATGTCCATGATCTTAAACTGAGGGGTCTTTACGTTCTTAAACACCCAATCACATCTTGATTTCCAAAGTAGCCATAACACACCATAGCACACGCTAATTAGGTTGTTTCTCCTTCTTTGACATGTTCCCCTGTTTTTAAGGAAGCCGATAAGTTCTCCAATGGTATGAAATTGTGGAGCTGGAATGTCACACCATCTAAATGCCCACTCCCATATAATGACCGCCGTAGGACATCGGATCAGAATATGTCTAATATGTTCATCCTCCAGCATGCACTGTGGACATGTGACGTTTGTAATCGACACTCCTCTTTTTGATAGTGTTGTATTTGTTGGAAGGCGTTCCAGATTAGCTCTCCAAATGAAGGTTGCAACCTTTATTGGAACATCATGAATCCACGGGATAACTTCTTCATTATTCGCCGGTTCGGTATTATCAATTATTAATCTGAGAGTATCTACATGGTAGATACCATCATTCGATTTAGGGCATTTCCATGTATCGGTTCCTGTGGCTGGTTGAAAATTTCCAATGGCATTAATCAAACCGTTAAGCTTGTGAATTTCTTTAGCAGAAGACGGGGTAGTTTTCCAGTCCCATATCTGCCCAGTAATAGTACCCTTTGCATAATCTTACAAGTTTTTCGTCTCTCCAGTTGATACAGTACAAGAAACATCGTTTTGAAAGGTTCACCATCACACCACCCATCCATCCAAAAAAGAGTATACATTCCATTCTTCACCTCTTTCTTTAATATATATTGAAAGTTAATGCCAAAACTCTTTAAATCATTCGTTGTCTCAACAATATTCCTCCAAACGCCCGGTAAATTTTTCTTGGCTAGGTAATGATCAGGCTTATTATTTGAAATTATGAAGACCCATAATTGTTCGTCACCATAAAGCTGATTGGTTTGTTTTTAATGCCCACCACCATTTAGAAATCAATGATAAGTTAAAGGCCCGAATAGAGCCTAAACTTAGTCCCCCTTTATCGTTTGGTGCAACGACTTTGTCCCATGATACCCACGCTATCTTGTGCTTGTTATCACTCCCTCCCCAAAGGAACTGTCTACGAATTTTCTCAAGAACGTTTATGACACCCGTCGGTGCCACGAATAAAGAGAAAAAGTAGGATGGAAGGCTACCAAGAACCGCTTTAGCCAGAGTTAGTCTTATTCCCAAGGATAGTGCTTTTGCTTTCCATGGAGACAGTTTCGCATAAAATTTATCGATTATGGGCTTCCAATACTTCATCAACTTCATGTTTGAACCCACAGGGACACTAAGGTAATTGAATGGTAACGAGGCTAGTTGACATCCTAGTGGCCCAACCCTACGGGTAACTTCTCCCATATCAACTCCAATACCAAACACCCTGGATTTATTGAAATTAACTTTCAATCCAAAGGTCACCTGAAAACATCGTAGCACCCTCGATAAGTTTTTTATGTTCTCTTGACTCCATTCTCCCACAAATATAGCGTCATCAGCGTACAATAGATGCGAGATCATCGTATCAGAATTCAATATTTTTATTCCATGGAAAATGCCTTTCTGGCAGGCCCTCTTCATCGCAACATTAAGCCCTTCCATTGCTATTATAAACAGGAATGGAGAGAGCGGGTCACCCTATCTCACACCTTTTTCCATTTCAAACTCAGTCGTAGGAGATCCATTAATGAGAACCGAAAGTCTAGCTGTGTGTAGGCACCCTCTAATTCACATGCTCCATTTATCTCCATATCCCATTTGAAGAATGATAGATTCAAGGTATTCCCAGTTCACAGAATCAAAAGCTTTTTCAAGATCCACCTTGAACAATAGAGCTTGTTTCTTTACATTCTTAGCCCATGCACACATATCATTAACAATTAGAGGTCCATCAAGAATGTTCCGCCCTTTCACAAATGTCGTCTGAGCCTCACCAATGTTCTTGTCAATTACCCATTTTATCCTGTTGGCTAGGAGCTTGGAGATTATCTTGTATAAATATCCAATTAGACTAATTGGCCTATAATCTCCAAGATGAAGAGGATCTTTAATCTTTGGGACGAGAGTGATAAAAGACGAGTTACACCCCCTCTCTAGCTTCCCGTACTTCTCAAAGTGTTTAACGAATTCGATAATATCCCCCTTGAGTACTTCCCAGTATTTTTTGATAAAATCGAAGGTGAATCCATCCGGGCCGGGGGCCTTATCACCCCCACATGCCCATACATCACCTTTGATCTCTTCGACTATGAATGGTTCTTCAATTTTGGAGCTAGAAGAGGAATCAAGCTTGTTAAAGTTGCTATTAGTAATTTTTGGTCTAGAGGGCCAACGATCCTAAAATTTCCTCTGATAAAATACAAACACTTCATCTTTAATCGCTGAAACATTTGTATTCCAGGATCCATTGATAATCAATCCATGAATAATGTTCTTGCTTCTCTTGATATTGACATACCCATGGAAAAACCGAGTATTCTCATCTCCGTCTATAGTCCACTTTATTCTGGCCTTTTGTTCCAAGTCAAGGACATACCCATTGAATCGTTCACTTTCTCTTCTTACAGTGTTGAAATCGCTAAAAATTATCCAGGTACCATTCTTAGAAGACTTACTCTGGATAAGATCTTCCCAGATCTTTTTCTTGTTTTGTGAATCATGAAGCCCATATACATTTGCAAAGATCGTTTGGCCTTGGATACCAGACCACCTCCCAATAGTGATTATAATGTGCCTCGATTTTATCACTTCATCTACCTGGTATAAACGGGAATCTGAAATACATAATAATCCGCCTGATCTTCCAGTGGAAGGCGTTGCTACAGACCCAAAGTCTCCCTTACCCCAGCAGCCTTGAACATCTATCTCATTTTCATCTGACAATTGTGTTTCCTGCACCCCTAGATATGTTTTGTGATATCTTGTTATTAACCTTCCGACCCATGAAACCTTATAATCTTCGCCTATTCCCCGAACATTTAAACTTAAAAAGTTCATTGGGGTATGTTCTCTTCTCTGATTGCTCCCATTACATCCAGTAATACCGGGTTTGAAGAACCAATTTCAAAACCCAGTTCCTTTCCAACCTCAATAGTTTTTTCTACTTCTACCAAAGTAGAACTAGTTGAATCCACAGGTATATAAGAAGTACCTTTGGACGAAAGTTCAGGTCGCTTATTAAGATCGATGGTAGTATGGGAGGATTCAATTGTTCTTGTATTATTGTGTTGGTGAGTCGCACCAATCGGGGAGGGGGGTTCTGATTCAGATAGACTTGTTATCGGGGTTATTGTATTAGTAGGTAGATCCGAACCGGAAATCATATACCTTTTCCTTTTACCTAAGGATCCGATAATCGATTGGTTTTGGCTTGGGGTGTGGGGTGGGCCTATGTCACGAACAGGGAATGGCCCAAAACAGCCATGGGGAAGTCCAAAATTCGTGTCCATATGGGTCGGGGCAACAGGGGTAATAATCAATCTATTGGACCTATCCATATTTTCACTAGGAAGTGGGGATGTGATATTACCATTACCACTACTTGTCGTAGGTTTCCCAGGCGGCTTTCCGATTGCCTCCCTCGGAAATTCAACCGTTTGTGGTCTCCCAGAGAACCCTTGCACTTCCTCCATCGGAGCCGGCGTTTCATCCAGCCTACCCAAGTTACTGTTCTCCGGCGAACTAGTACTAATCTGGTTTGTCTCCATCGTGACTTTTGGGTATGTTTTCCGATTAGAGACCAGACTGATCTCACGCTCCTCCATTTCACAATCTCCTTCCTACACCCAAGTTTCTGAGACTCCGTCTACATCGTCTTCTTCCTCCTCGTCTTCATCTTCTACGCAAAGTTCATCTTTTTTATAGAAATCATCATTTGGGTCAAACTTGAAAGCGTACCAATCCTCATCGAATTCAATGATGCCCATCTTTAAGATTTCTTCTTCAACAGCTACAAGTATCTCCTTGTTGATCCTCTTCCTTCTTGTAGTCAATATACCAATTTTAACACAGGACAGGTCCACACGGTGTGTGAGGTTGTCAAATGGTGCGATGATGTTCCCATAATCTTTTGTAATTTTCTCGAAGTTGTTCCCCCCCGCCAAATTTGTATTGGAAGCCCTACTATCCTAATCCATGCAACCCTGTCGAAACCAGTTTGCACCTGATCTGCCCAGTCGACCCATTTCAAATGTTCCTGCCATCTCTGTTTATTTTCTTTAAACTCCTTTGCACTTACAGAGTCATTAAACTGTAGTAGGACTTTGAATCCACCAGCATATTTAATTTCCATGCTGACCTCATTTTTGATCAGTAGTAACTTGGGAAGATGTCCCAAATGGTTTAGCGACATTGCCTCACCGATGAGTGACGTCTTCCGTAACCAACAATGAGTATCTTGGTCATTTTGTAGGATTATGTATGGGGGAGTAGAGGGTTGTGATGGGGGGGGGGGGGGAATTATGGACATCATTCCTTCCTCGACCAGCCACTTCTGCAAATGTTCTTTGATCTCTGAAACCCCACCCGCCTGGTGATTTTTTAGGAATGAAAGCACTACTGCGTCTATTGTTATGACCTTGATTTTCATTCTTAGTCATACCTGGAATTTCTTTTCTTTTATGTAACGCCACATTCACCTCTAGTCTTCTTCCTCGAACCATGGTGCCATCAAGCTTCCTCTCCATTTCTCTTACATTTTTAACGTCCACATACCTGATAAAGACATAGTATTTTCCGTTTTTTCCTTTTCTCAGCCCAATGAACACATCCGTCATTCTACCAAATCCAGCAAACGCTTCTCGAATCTCATTCTTAGTAACGTGTGACATCCCGTTTAAAATATAGTGATTAAATAATAAACAGGAGCCTCGAGATGTAATTTTTATTTTTATTTTATGTTATTATAGCCTAAAATCAAATAATAATTAGCGGGGTGTTGGTTCGGGGAGCCTAATGTCAAGATTTAAATCTCTAAGGGGTTAAAGTGTAATTTTGGGACTTAATTTGTAAAGAATTGCATAAGTCAAGGGGTGTTTGGTATTATTGGGACTCAAATTGAAGATATTTTGGAGGTTGGGGGCTGAAAGATAAATTTTGGACCTATATTGGAAAGGTTTTGTAGAATGAGGGGCTTTTGGGTAAATAAATGAATGAATTCGAAATTATTTCTGGAGGGAGGGACTATTTATGCTATTATGGAATAAAGTTTATTAGGGTGCCGGGTATATAAACACACCATAACCCTAACCCTAGTAGTGTGATACAGCCGCCACCTTCCCTCCTTCTTCACTTCCGGTAGCCGCCACCACCATTGGAACCCTCCTCAGCCACCATAGGCGTCACCAAGTCCGACGGCCCGTTCCGCCTGCTGCCTCGTCGAAACGCAGCCGTTCTGCCACTCTCCGTTGTTCTCGCATTCTTCTTCTTCTTTTCTGTCAACGCTCACAGCTGCACTCGACTGTTGCCGGTGTCTTTTCGATCACATTGCTATGCTTGATGCTGTCGGAGACGAGAGCCACAGATCAGACCCGACGTCGTGGTCGTGGAGGATCTGGTGAACAAGGCTTGCAGGTGCCGCCACTCGCTGACCATCTTTCACAGCGGAGCTCGACCGCCACCCCCATACCTCTGCCTAACCTCTGGTGCTCCTCTCGTCGGGGTAGTCGGAGTTGAAGACGAAGATGCAACGTCAGGTGTCGGAAGAACGGCAGTGGTGTCGTTGTTATCGAGAAACACCATCAACCGCCGCCTACCGCCATGAAGATTTCTGATGGGTGTGTGTTTTCCGGGTTCAGCTCATGTGGTTGAGTGTTTTGGTGGTGCTGTACTAGTGTGGGTGTGCCTTTGGCCGGGAACCACGGAAAAACCACCATGGCCGCCAACCATGGTGGCTGCCGCCATGAACCACCTTGTGTGTGTGTGCGTGTGTGTGTGTGTCTTAGTGGTTGTGTGTGTTTAGTTGGGATTCACGTTGTAAAATGTAACTAGAAATCAGAATAATGAAATAAAACCCTAACCACCACCATGAGGTGGTGGTTGTCGCCTCCTGCCGCCACCGGCCGTCGTGTCGGGTGGCGGTGTGCTTTGCCTTGTTGTGTTAGATTCGTTTGGGATGCATGAAGCCCTAATGGTCCTAATGATCCCTAATTGATCAAATGACCTACCTATTGGGCCTATTGGGCTAAGATTGGGTTGGAAACCCTTAATGGGGCCTGGAAAACCATAATGACATAAAACCCTAATTTTGGGAATTTATCGGGACACACACGGGAATTATTTAATAACCCTAAAGTAACAATTAATAATCATGGGCAAATTAACCTAAGGCAATATTGGACTTAATGGATTAAGTCCTTAATGGGTTAAGTAAGAAACACTTAACCCTAATTGTCATTTTATGTAAAACCCTAATTTCACTTGGGCTTGGTGTTGGGCCTTTCCATTGGGCTTTGGTAATTGGATTATTAATGGGCCATCCAAGAATGATCATATGGACTAGAATATGTTGATGGTTTTAGGATAAGGCCCATGTGAGAGTCTTGGGCCCAATTTGGAAAATTGGGCCATTGATGGGCCATGATTGGGCCTTTATGATTATGTGATATCGGGCCATGGGAATACCAAGAGTTTGGGCTAGAATAATTAGATGGGCCTTAAGGAAAGACCATGTATTTGTCTGGGCCCAATTTGGAAAATTGGGCCATATGTTGGGCTTTAGCCCATTGGTTGACTATTGGGCCTTTGGAGTGTGAGTTGGACCTTGGGCTTGGAACCCAATTATTAATTAGGTGTTGTTTGATGTTGACAGCTTGGGAATCTGTCAACCAGCAGTTGGAGTTTTATCCGTGGGACTTCAGCAGTTCCAGGTGAGTTCTCCTCACTATATCAACAATGTCTAAGGCAACAATGTCGACCCTTATCGGATTTGTATCCGGGTTTGTTGCATGATATGCTTATTGATTTACATTCTGGTAATTAGGATGGTAATATGCTTAGTGACCTGGTTAGGTCGTTATCCTGGTTATAGGATGTTGCTATGATTTATGATATGTTAGATCGGTATCCTGATAGATAGGATGTTGTTATGCTATTATGATCTGTTAGATCGGTATTCTGATAGATAGGATGTTGCTATGCTATTATGATCGGTTAGATCGGTATCCTGGTATATAGGACGATACTATGTTAGTGACCTGGTTAGGTCGGTATCCTGGTCGTAGGATGTGGCTATGATTGATGATCTGTTAGAACGATATGACTGTTATATATATATATATATATATATATATATATATATATATATATATATATATATATATATATATATTCTAGCATATGATAATATGTGCACATGTTTGTTTGTTTGGGGGTTGGGTTGAGGCGGCCCTGATTTGTGCTGAAGGCCAACATACCCAGGGCGGTCCGGATAAACTGAAGACCCTGCAAAGGGATTCGGTTAGGCCGAAGGCCCGGCGAGCGGTCCAGTTAGGATGTAGGCCTTGCGAGGCGGTCCAGTCATGCCGAAGGCTCGGGAGCGGTCCAGATAGGCTGTAGGCCCTCCGAGGCGGTCCAGTCAGGCTGAAGGCTCATTATGCATGTTGTTTTGTATTTGTTATATGATATGGTTATATTTGTATGGCGTTGGTATTTTGGGGGAACTCACTGAGCTTCGGGCTTACAATTGTTGATTTTGTTTTTGGTACTACTGATGATCGTGGGAAGGCGAAGACGTGATCGTGCACCTCCTCATATTTTCATGATTGATTCTGGGGATACTCTGATGCTTAAGTTATTTTGAAAAAAAAATTATAATAACTTAATGGTTTTTAAATGTTTTAAAAAGTTTTAAATTGGCTTGAATTTTTATGGGTGTTACAAGTTGGTATCAGAGCCTTGGTTTGAGTGAATCGGAGGAAAACTCGTGTGAATCCAGTTTCAAATCAAGGAAAAGATTTTAAAATGATTTTTTAATGTTTTCAAAATAAGAAAAGGAGGATGCAGAGTGTACGATCAGCTGGAGCCAGTAAGTAGACCCCAAAATACCATATACTTTTTTTGATATTGTGATATGTTAGAACAACATGCTAGTACGTAGCTAGGGATCTTCAGGAATGGCGTGATAGAATTTCCTGATTATATGATGGCTGATAGCCTAGGGATTTCCTTATATGAAATTGACATCATTACTGTAGTTACTTAGTGTATGCATCACGGTTGTACATAATTAAGATCTTATTGTCTGAGAATGTTTGGTTCAGCTTTATTTCCTATTCCTTGTTTAGTTGTGGGCTTAGAGTAGGACCGAGTATTCAGATGTCTATAGGGTCTAGCGTTATGTATGGCTAGCATACACTAGTGCTGCAGGGTTGGTGGAAGTTTCATGGATGTGTGGGTTGTGTGAGGCCGGGAGGCCAGTTATGAGATATTTAGCATTTCTCTAGGAGTGAGGATTTAGCGCTCGCTATGTTTATGTATATTGTTAAGGTGTTGTGGTGATACTTGAGACAAATATGGGTAGGTGTGGAAGGTAGTATGGGCCCGTACTACTGAAAGCACAGGACCCATATGTGTAGCAAGGAAGTCACAACCCCTAGGGTTTGGTTGAGAGTTGGTTTCTTATCATTATATGGGTTATCAGAGATCTTCCTGTTGTATTACCAGAATGATGGTTACGAGACGCCTTGAGACGGATCCGGGTTAGGATCAGGGAGCTGGTAGCCAGGATAGGCCAGCATTGTCAGAGGATCGTGTTAGTGAGATCACCCGGGAGATGGTGATCGAGATTGTCCGGGGGCTGTTGTCGGAGATGTTCGAGTCTGTCACACCCCCAAACCAAGGATGGCGGAAACGTCCGGGGGCGGGAATGACTTCATGTACAGTATCATAACAACGAGTATAATAGTGACCAAAGAAAACACAACCATCATAAATATAATTGAAAAAGTTACACTATAGTATGAATTACATGTTTCAAAATCAATTACATTATGATGACAAAAATGTATTAATTGACGTCTTGCGTCCCATCCTTAAGCAGTTGGTTATCCGTTTCACTGGTTTCCTGAGAATACAAGTAGTTTTGAAAGAGTGTCAACAATTAAGTTGGTGAGTTCATAAGCTTTTAGATGTAGTGTTGGAAAACCTTTGTTTGTAAATGTAATGTATACACAAGAAAAATCCAATATTTTCCTTATAAAATGTTTTGTAGTCTTAAATCCCAAGGCCGAACGTATGAGTGTGTTTCGTAATTGTAACGAAGATTGCAGTTTTAAATTGATAAAACCCTTTTTAAAGTAGAATTTTCTCGTAAACTTTAATTGTTGTTAACTCCCTATGTGAGTCGCTATAACCATACTACAACTGGATGACCTGTTACAACGTTTTTCAGACGTTAGAATTGTTATGATTTTTGTCACCTGTAGACCTCAGGTCCCGCTGTAGCTAGCAGCAAGGTGTGGGGTGTCAATCCCAATATAGATCTATATACAATTATCACGCTCTCCCTACAAGAGACTCTAGTTATAACTTACAAGAATTTTAACCCGTACTCTAAGAGTACAATTGAAGAATTGTCTCACAACTTACGTTAACGAGTTTACGTGTGGTTTGAATGTAAAACCTTTTCGGTGGTGGAAGTAAATCCCCTTTTTATGTAGTATGTTTGAAATGTAAAATCCATAAACTATACCTATTATAGTTTATTGTATGTGTTTGAAGTGAATGAAAACTCTTATCATGAATGACTAATTTCTGTTTATGATGATAACCTCATAAGAAATGCATCCCACATTTAGAAACTTATGGTTATACACTTTGCTCAACATGTTAC